ACAATTACGACTAGTATAATCGTTAATCACACAAGCCCATCATGAAGCGATGCTGAGAAGAACCCTCAGGAATAGCCGATCGCGTTCACAGGTGGCTATACAAAATATTAAATAAAATTTTTATTTTCATATTTTTAATATAAGTTACAAAACCAGCACAGCACTTTGAGAGGTTTATCTGTAATACAAAATTTAGGAGTGGCGGAGAGTTGATTGACCAACAAACTTGGTGTATCACAATTTTATGGTAAGTGTATCAAGTAGATCATAAGGTATATACAATTTGGACGTCAGTAACTACGTACATTACCTCAATGTATTCACGTCTCCCCGTCAGTCTAAGTCTTGACAATCACCCAAAGATTTCATTGGAATTTTAAATCAGAACTATTTGAAGGGCCAATTGATAACTTCTGGAATGTTTTTTGGAAGGTAGGTCTTAGCAAGATGATTGGTATGCTTTGGTCATTGTCTTGTTGAAACTGCTATTTGCCTCAAAGCATTGATTATCTCTGGAAGGTACCCCTGAACATAGAATTTGGCATTCATAATCAAAACAAACTCATTTTACCCTTAGCACAACCCCATTTTTGTTTTGTCTTTCAGCATAGTAATAGGTCAAACTGGTTGGTTGCCCTTACACCAATATTACAGAGCAGCTGAAATGCTGTTTCTGAAAAAAGGTCTTCCAGTTGTCATTAATGTGCACTTGGGTCCACTCTACCCATCTTTGCTTATGGTTGTCAGTAAGCATTGGTGTTGCTATAGTAACTTTTTTGGTATTGTTATACGACGAATTTAATAATAGCATTTAAATAGCGATTTACGATTAATATTATTAGTACGTCAGATGATCACTTAAATGTATTACACAAACATGTAAATATCTGACGTGAATTTAGTGACGTATGTAAATCAATATTTTAGTAATAGCTATGGACCATTTAGATTTTAGAATAGCTATATAAACAACCAAAGTTCGAATAGTTTCTGCATTTTTTCCACTTAGGATTTGGTCGGAGGCTCCAACGGAATAATGGAATAACTCTTACGGTGGAATAACTCTTACGGTGGAATAACTCTTACGGTGGAATAATACTTATTATTATAGGATCGAATAAATACGATGGAAAACAACTGATAAACTTACGAGTGGAAATATTCAACTGGTGTTCACTATGATCTCTAATGGCACAAATTTAGTCTGGTAATCTCTAGCTTTCGGTATATACTGGACTTATTAAAGTTTACAGCGTCGAGAGCTTAATCAGTTGTGCGAACGATTATCGATGAAATCCCAGCAACGTTCTCAATAATACATTATACCTAATAATAATTACAACAACACCGCTCGTACAACAGTATCCAATGTCATTCAAATGTTTTGCGACTGCAAACTATATTATATTTGTGGCACAAAAAGTATACAGTGCTGAAATACGTGCATGCTGCACACGGATTCCCTTTTCCATAACTTATGACAATATTAAAAAAAAAAAAAGGAACAATGCCGTATGCCGGTGGAAATAAATACTCAAGAAGATTGTTTGCACCATTTTTGGTGAACAAATTGTCAGAAAAGGGAGTCGAAGTTTCCCATGTGGCCGTTGTTGTTCTTGTTTCGAAATAACCATTATGTGGTTAAGGTTTGCATGTATAAAAGAGTTTTTTTTTGTCGCGAACAACAATTTATTTTATATGCAAACGTCATTTTAATTTTGCATTTTTACGATCGAAAATTATTTACAAATTGGGTATATAAACGCGTTTTTATCAAATTCCGGGATTTTTCTTAACAAACTGTATATCGTAAAAAAAGTATTGTAGCGTTTTCTTAATTAAAGCTCGAAACAATAACGAATATGATTGACTCTCAAACTCTCAAACAAAAAAATTCCCTGATTACACGACTCCAACTCTCTTATCGAAAAAAAAAAAAAAAATCACTTACATACAAATCACTTTTCGATAACCCGAAAATCGAACCAATGACACTGTTAACCCAACCCTTCTACTTCTGAAATCTCAACAAACAGACCAAGCCACAGAGTCCATGTCTACAATAAAGAGCGATCAAGGTTTGCTAAGATTCATTAAACAGGAAAATGCCTCGGAAAAGACAATTAAATTAGGCATGCATAGGGCTATGTGAGTATACATACAGTACCATTGATACATTGGATGCTATCACTATTGAGAAGTCAGAAAATGACCTTTTTGATTGTTAGTCTGTAGGTGTTTCATTTGTAATAACAATGCTACACTACCCGGACAAAAGTATCGGACCTTCTAACTTTGTTAATTACTCGAAATTATACATAATAAACGAGGCAGAAATTTTAATGACTATTAGTCTAACTATTCATAAATCTATCACAAATAGTTAATATTTTGTTGGTCAGCCATTATTTGCTATGCATGCTTCGATTCTTTGAGGCATACTTTCAATCAGGTTCATTAAAACAGTATTAGAAAATTTTTTGCCATCCTTTTTGTAATGTGTGTCTTGTTCCAGGAGTTCTCCAAACATGATTTGGACCATCATTCTTGAATATAGTAAAGTGACTTTCATCACTCCAAATGACATTTTTACACTTTCTGATGAACCAATCCTTTCTTTCAAGACACCAGTCTAAATGATTTTTCCTTTGTCAATCATTAAGAAGAGGTTTAACTGCTGGTATTACATGAGAAAAGTAATTAAGATCATGTAAATTTCTTGTAATAGTTTTTGTAGAAGCATTAAGTCCAGTTTTTTCATTGAATGTATTTGTAATTTGTTTAGCTGATTTATGGTTATTATTCTTAATGATTTGTTTTAATGTTTGTTGATGCTCAAAACTCAAAAGTTTTGGATGACCACTTCATGGCTGAGTTACAAGACTATTTCTTTTTTGAAAAATTTGAATAGTTCTGATAACTGTTGTTTTAGAGAAACCAAGCATTTTTTTAATACTGGCTTTTGTAGCACCAGCTTTGAAAAGGCCAGACATTTTAAGTCAATGATTCAAAATTACCAATCAGTCATTTTATGTTTACAAAAACAAAAAAAAAGCTGTAAACAACATGTAAAAAATGTGATGCATTTTTCAATATCCAGAGCATAACATATAAAAATTTCAGCCTTGTTTATTATGTAATTAATAAAGTTGGAGGGTCCAATACTTTTGTTTAGGTAGTGTATGTAATGTAATATTTCAGACAGAAAATTAAGCAGAATGTGTCATTATCATTTGGAATTAAAAAGTATTCATGTCATCTCTATATATGTAACATTTCAGCCAGGCATGTTTTCAAAATTAAGCAGAAATATGTCATTTGGAATTAAAAGTACTCATGTTATCTCTATATATGTTACATCTCAGCCAGGTAAATTTAAGCAGAAATGTGTTATTTGGAATTAAAAAGTACTCATGTCATCTATATATATGTAACATTTCAGTCAGGCACATTTTCGAAATTAGACAGAGATGTGTCCTTTTGAATTAAAAAGTGCTCAACTTCATAAATGCTATTGCTAAAAAAAATTAACATGAATTTATATGGATTTCTTAGACCCAGATCATAATATAGTTGATTATTGATATCCATGTGTTGGATTAGTTTTTGTATCTCTTCTGTTTTTGTATTTCCTATCAACATGTTTTCCATATTAAAATGCATCCAACTGTCCACCAAAAAAAAGGTTCAATTGTCATATTGATTTGTTGTTCAACCAGTACTTTTGCTGCATTGAATAAGAGGCCTGATTTTTCATTTCAATCTTTTACTAATCCAAATTCTAATTTTTTGCTTTGGTGGTTGCATTTTCAGTTTTATTCTCATGCTTGGCATCAATTGCTTATTATTATACCCAAAGTAGGTCCCATTTTTGTAGATGCTTGCTTTTTTATATTGATTATTGTCTGTATCATTTCTATTGTTAGCATCAAGAGCAATGTTTACCATGGCCAGTCTGTTATAAGACAGAGATTATAGAGGTAATAAAAGCTCATAGACAGTTGCTGCAGTAATATCAGGCTCAATGATTCATTTGCCACTAGGAATAATCATGCTCCATCACTATCAGAGGCTCTTTTGGATTTGCTTTGCTTTTGGCCTTTAGCCCAGCCTGAAGATTTGTTTCTGATTGCTTTGTTAATGATGCTCTTTACTTTGTCATTGTCATCATTGTCACTGATGCTTATTGAGGATATCAAGTATGCTGATTAAATTTTCAACATTTATCAACTGAAGACTTGTGGTTTTGTTGCCTTTGATGTCATCCATTGCATGCTCAATGCATACTCTGGCTGTTGCAAGGCCATGTTTATTTTTGACCTTGGCTTCATAATTTGCAATGTTAGGGCAGCCTTGAACTTCACATATGTTAGCTGGAGAGGATACTAGGGAGGCAGTAGATTGACTGGAACTGGGAGAGGTTGGGTTTCTTTCCCTTTTAAGCAAAGCTTGGAGTTCAGGTGAGCTCATAGGAGAGACTTTTACTGTGATTCAGTGGGTATCTGTTGTAAGGCTTCAGTTGAAGCTGCTGGTTTAGTTGGGGGAAGGTTCCTCTTCATCAGATACTATTTCCTCAATTTTGCTGAGGATTTTTTGTCCTTGGAAGGTTTTGAACTCTTTGCTGGAGTGAAGGGCACATGCATGGTAAGGGGAGCCTTCTTCCAGTTCCATGCCATTCATGAAGTCTTCTTCATCTCTTGTAAGGACAGAGCAGATAGTAACATGGGTACAGTTGGGAGCTTCACAGAGCTTATTCACCTTAACATTCTTTCCCAGAGTCCAGAGTCTTGGAGAAAACTGTGCCATCTTTGAGGGAGCTCCTCTCCTCTGCTTGAAGGTCTTTTTTCAGCATAGTCATGCTGCTGAGGGGCTTTTTTCTTCTTTTCTCTTCAGCCATAATGACTGCAGGGAGTTGGGCCATTTGAAAACTTATTGTTTTTAAAGTGTTTTGGTGATATTTATTATAGGTACTGTTAGTTCTTTTCTTCAGTGACAGATCTGCATAAATGCAAGGAAGAGAGGAAAGATCTTTTTCTAATGATTTGAACATTGGTTGTTGTTTGGATGACAACACTGACTACATATGCTATTCATCTCTTACGTGAACAACTTCTTGTTGAACAGCCTGATTGACAATAACATGCACTTAATTCTTCACTATTAACTGGCACCAGATGCCTTGCCACTTCAGTTAATGAGACAGTTGCATCTGGTATGTCTTCCAACTCATGAAAGCTTGCTAATGCTAGTTTAGGTCAGCTGCTTGATAGCAAGCATTTAATGTACCTAAAGTACACCCAAGTCTATATAGGCCATCTCTTACAATCTCTAACACCTTACATGGCAAAAACTTTCTACCAAGCTGTATTCTGGAATTTGTAGTCTGACTAAGTCACCTATGCTAAATGACTGAACTATTTTTCCACATCTTCCAAGCATTTTTTGCTTGATGCATTCCACATTGCAATAAATATTTTCCTGTATGCTTTGGCAAATAGCCTCATGTGTTTGACCTACATCCATGGTTACTGATTCATCACTACTATTAATAAAACTGCTTAATCTCAGCCTTGGGTTTGGCCTTTTTCTTGGTCATTCTCTTATTCTAGCTCTACCAAAAGATGATTATTTCAATTATTAGCAGTGTTCAAAAATGCAAAAATTTTGGTAAAGGGAAAAGAGTGAAAAGATCATTGCAATAATAGACATGGGACATGTCCCTGAGCAGTATGGTGGCTATCATCTATAAACTGCACTAATGTCACATGACTTTCAAACTTTATAAGTTAAAAACAAATAAACCTATTGCAAATCTAAACTGATAGAATGATAAATTAAAACAAGCTGAACATTTTTATCAGTGTACTTTTTTAAAATGTTATGTAAAATTTTAAGTTATTATTATTATGGTTTAAAATTCAGTGAATTTCTATATGATATATGGAAAAAAAGAGCAAATTTCGGACTAGAGACGGCACTAATTTAGATGCATTTTCATATGATGATCATTGTTTCTTGATAATCTTGATTGAACCTATTCAATGACCCGCCCATCTAAAAGAAAAATTAATGTTAAATAACAAGAACGAGACAATAATGGAAGGTTTGCAAAAAAAAAAAATACAGACTTGATAATTGGAGAGATGATGATGATAGTGGTTGGGACAATGATGTTAATTGGAGTGATAATTTGTTAAATGAAAGAATTAGTTTGGTCAAATAATGCATATTTAGAGAGAAAAGAACGTGGACCTTACCTTACAGGAAAGACAAAAAAATCAGTCATACTGGAAGCTGGGCATAAATGTATTTTTTACCCAAAGTTCCACTGCGAACTGAATTATATCAAGCGATACTGGGTGCGGCGAAAAGATATGCTCGAGAGAACTGCGACTATTCTTGGTCAGGCTTGCAACGTGTCGTTCCTGCAGCCT